TCAAAAATACTAATGCAAATGCTCAACTTTACGAACGTTCCAAAATATCAACATTTGCTTGATATAAAATAGTTAACACTCCTCATAGGGCGTATTTAAGTTTGCAGATGACACCATAGTTTATTTGGCAATTAAATAAAATTCTGATTCATCTACATTACAGAAAGGTCTTAATAAATTGGCATCATGGGAAACTATGTGGAAACTGGCATTCCACACAGATAAGTGTAATGTTATCTCAGTCACCAGAAATAAAAAAAAAACACCTTAATCTAAACATTACACAATCATTCTTTAGAACATGTAACAACAGCGAAATATCTGGGGGTAACCATCAGTTCAAACCTTAAATGGGATGTGCTCATCAACAACATATACAAGAAAGCAAATAGCACACTAGGCTTTCTAAGGAGGAAACTAAATATAAGTTCAACATCAATTAAAGAGCAGGAATACAAGTCCCTAGTAAGACCATCACTAGAGTATGCTCTGTTTGGGACCCTTACTTACAAAAAGACATAGATAGCATTGAAAAAGTTCAAAGGAGGGCTGTCCGTTTTGTTATCAACAAATACAGAAACACCTCAAGCGTTTGTAACGAGTTACAACACCTTGAATGGTACAGCCTCTCTGAAAGAAAAAAGATACACGATTGGTAATGCTATACAAAAAAGGAAACGAAAAGGTTTTAATACCTAAAAATGATAAATCAATTCCACAACAGAGACAAACAAAACATTTAAATTCGAACAGTTTCCTAATTCCATCCTGCAAAACACAGTACAGAAAATAATCAAGAACAATAACCGACTGGAACAACTACCAGATAACATCGTAAATTGCACGTCAGTAGACTCAACTTCTAAACATCAATATTAAAAGTCAAATATTCACATCAACTAATTGTACATTTGTAATTTTCATTTTTTTGAAAATTTGTATAGTATTAATCTATGTCTCGTTGTAAATTATCCTCCTGTGACATAATCTTCAATTAGTTGAAGGCTGTCACTTTCTGAAGGTGCCAATGAAAATTCAAAAAGCATCTGTCGAAGAGAAACTGACAACGCCATGGCAAATGACGAAAGGTAACGAAAAGACGAGCAATTCTACAAAACACAACATAGAAAACTAAAGACTGAGCAACACAAACCCCACCAAAAACTGGGGGTGATATCAGCTAGGTGCTCCGGAAGGGCAAACAGATCTTTCTTAACTAGTGACATCGGTCTGACATATAGCTCATTTGAAGAACAAATTCGGTGATAAGACTCGTGCCTTGATATTACAATATAGAAAAACAGGACGATGGGATTGTGTTAACGACAATTGGAACATATCCGTAGTCTGTGACGAAGATATTCCATACTGGTCAACCAACCGGTCATGGCGTCCGTTAAACTTGCAAAGGGATGACCCCAATTTTACCACTTGGAAGCCTCGGTTTAATGGCATCTTTGTAAGTAGCAACCCTGTGTATCAATGAATTCATGATAGAAAACGCAAGCTTGGGAATATCGTATTAACTGGTAGATATTATACTCCAACTTTTCAACTGATTTTTATAGTTTGTATTGTTACATCACTGTCCTAGGTTAAGGAGAGGGTTGGGCGCTCACAATAAAAATAAAAATATGTGGTATGAGTGCCAATGAAAAAACTCTCCATCCAAGTCACAATGTGTAAAAAGTAAACAATTATAGGTCAAAGTACGGCCTTCAACACGGAGCCTTGGCTCACACCGAACAGCAAGCTATAAAGGGCCCTAAAATGACTAGTGTAAAACAATTCAAACAGGAAAGCCAACGGTCTAATCTATATAAAAAACGAAAAACGAGAAACACTTAAGAACCACATCAACAAACGACAACCACTGAAACATTTTCCTGACACAAACATGTTTAACCCCGCCACATTCTATATGTGCCTATCCCAATTCAGGAGCCTGTAGTTTAGTGGTCGTCGGTGGTTCGTGTCTGTCATATTTGTTTTTCGTAAATTGTTTTGTTATACATTAGGCCGTTAGTTTTTTTATTTGAATTGTTTAATATTTTTCATGTCGGGGCCTTTTATAGCCGACTACACGATACCGTTTCTTCTCATTGTTGAAGGCTGCACGGTTGCCTATAATTACTTACACCCACTTCATTTGAACTTCGGTGGATAGTTGTCTCATTGACAATCATACCAAATCTCCCATATGCAGGCGCTGCAATATGCTGCTATATAGAAATGGAAGTTCACAATACGGAATCTGAAACTATCCTATCACTGATGGAAATATTGGCGTAGCTATATAAAGTTTAATATTTACAAGTAGATTAAATATAAAACTGATTACTTCTGATTAACTGAAATCTCAGTGGGTTTTAGAATATTAAACTCGTTTTGTAAGGTGGATGCATTAAATGTTATAACAGAAAGAGTTAGTGTTTGATCTAAAGCTAGACTTTAAGGCACACGGCGAAGCGTATTACTATATAACATGTACTACTTTAAAATATATTAATTGATATTTGAAAAATGATTCGGAAAGATCAAGAAATATTCACAATCCGTTTACATGATAAAATTGAGAATGGAAATGGGGAATATGTCAGAGACAACAACCCGACCAAAGAGCAGACAACAGCCGAAGGCCACCAATGGGTCTTCAACGCAGCGAGTGTAAATAGTTGTATATGAAATGTTACAATGAAAGTCAGTTTAGCTGTGAGCTTTCGACCCATCGCCCGAATAAAAAAATAATAATAATAAAAAAAAACAAAAAAAACAAAAAACAAAATATACATATACCGAATAAAAAATACAAAACCACACCAAAAAAAATACAAAACTAGGCAAATCAAGAATATGTATATTAGCTGTAGCAAGTGGTCTGCCTATTTTGGGCGATTTTTTTCTTGCTTCAATTTGTTTCGACTTCCCAATTGAGTCTAGTAAGCTAGGGGAGGGTTTGGCGCCAGGAAAAGAGTTTAACCCCGCCACATTCTGTATGTGCCTGTCCCAAGTCATGAGCCTGTAATTTAGTGGTTGTCGTTTGTTGCTGTATATCATATTCGTTTTTCGTTCATTGTTTTGTACATGAATCAGACTGTTATTTTTCTCGTTTGAATTGTATTATATTTTTTATTTCGAGGCCTGTTGTAGCCGACTATGCGATATAGGTTTTGCTCATTGTTGAAGGCCGTACGGTGACCTATAGTTGATAACCTCCACGTAATTTGGTCTCTGGTGGAGAGTTGTCTCATTGGCAATCATATCCCATCTTCTTACTTTTATATTTGAGTAAATTACCGTCGATCTGTGTTCTTGTCTTAAATTTTGTCATATCTTGGGGGATAACTTCTGTTTAAATTCATGATTCCTTTCCCATGTAGAACATGTCTATCGTCATGACCATATAAATTATCATATTGATTGTTTCCGTGGTTTTAATGAAAGTTGTTTGATGAAGCTTGTATCCATACTGGAATGTTAATACGCTCTTGGTAAAATTGGAATATTTTAAAAAAACATCGAAGATTTTCTTTTAATAAATTCATCACAGACAACAGGACTAAAATTGTGTTCGCCAGACACGCGTTTCGTCTACAAAAGACTCACCAGAGACGCTCGAATCCAAAAAGTTTAAGAGGCCAAAGTATAAATTACGAAGTTAAAGAGCATGGAGGACCCAAATTCCGAAAGGTTTTGCCAAGTACTGCTAAGGTAATCTGTTCCTGGGGTAGAAACTCCTTATAAATAAGAAAAATTCTAAGTTTTATAAACAGTTAATTTATATATATGACCTTATAAATGATAATTCATGTCAACATAGACATAGACGTGCTGACTACTTGACTGGTGATCTTGAAAGGCAAAATATTTAACAAATATTGAATTTAGATGGACTAAAAAAGACTATTTCAGCACATATTGATATTTCAGCTAGCAACAACATCGATTCTGAAAATCATGCGTATAGAGCATAAAAGGTCTCAAGAACGTAAAAGATGACTTAAATTAATGAAATAATGATTTCATTTCTATAAGTTAAGTAAAAACAAAGTACACACTTTAAGATGATATCACAAAACATACGATGACCTAATTCAACATTTCAAAGTGATGATATTATGCTTTGAATAGTTTTTTTCATAATGCGTAACATATTTCTATAATTATAATCTTACTTTGATCTCCAATTTCTTTGTAGGCTAAACAATATTCCAGAAAGTAAATTCTTCATAGATACCAGGATTAAAATTTTGTGCACCAGACGCGCGTTTCGTCTACAAAAGACTCATTTGTCGCGTTTGAATAAAAAAAACTAAAAAGGCCAAATAAAGTACGAAGTTAAAGAGCACTGAGGACCAAAAATTACAAAAGTTTTTACAAAATACAGCTAACTTTACAGGTGATCTTTTCCTGGGGTAAAAAGTCATTAGTATATTGAAAAATTCATACCTTTCAAAGGCTTTTCATTTTTTGTTTTGAATATTTCATCACAGCAGGAAGAAGGGTGTTAATTAAAAAGAAAAATCCGTCTCTAGCATCAAGTTATATATAAATATATAAATTCGTAAATTGTTTTGTTATAAATTAGGCCGTTAGTTTTCTCAATTGAATTATTTCTTATTTTTCATGTCGGAGTCTTTTATAGCCGACTATACGGTATGGGGTTTTCTCATTGTTGAAGGCCTTACGGTTGCCTATAATTGCTTACATCCACTTTATTTGAAATTTGGTGGATAGTTGTCTCATTGGCAATCATACCATATCTTCTTATTTTTATATGTAAGGAAATGTGGTATTATTGCACATGAGACAACAATCCACCAGATATGCTTTTCATAGCCGTCGAAAGATGATGAAACGGTTAGTAAATATCTTTTCCGTCTATATATATATATATATATAAGCCAAACAGATAAAGGACAGGCCTGGTAAACAGCCCGACCAGTGATCAGTAATTTTTTTACTACGAATTGTAGGAAACGTTAAAAGATCCTTGACCTCTGTTTATGATTTGCCTGTGCAAAATAAAGACTTCAATTTGTGTGTTGACGTGTCTTTCCATAGATGAAATTAAGAAATAAACATTTCATTTCATATATACTAATATATTTATATCAATTATTGCGACATGACAACAATTTTCAGCTGCTTAGTGATGGAATACATAAGTACACAGAGCCTTCAATGCCTCTAAAGTTTCTTTCCCAGAAGGAATAATCTCTTCCGCCGGAAGTAAGAAGCCATATTTTCCTTTATCTCGAAGCTCTACACCGTATGAATATTTGATTTTTTCAGCTCCATATGTCCAGTCGGCACTACTTCCACTTGCTTCATCTGCAAATATAAATTAAATTTGAACTGTGAAAGTTGCTCATAACTTTTTTTTTAATATGAGTATGAATAAAATATTCACACCGAAATTTCTGGATTACTTGTTTCTGATGTTTTTTTTATCTTCGACAACCATTTTCCAAAAAAGTTTAAGTCAAATGTCTAATGTAAATGTATCCTTTTATGATCATTGGGCCATACACTGTCAATGTGAGCTATCTTGTTTTACTCTTATATTTGAAAAACCGTTTCGAAATTATTATTTTTTTATTTCTATCAATTGTCTTTTGAAGATGACTTTGCTGATCGGATAAGCTGAGTGTGGATAATACAGATAATAAATGATAAGCAACGATTTTTATTTTTATTTACACACATGATGGGTGTCACTCGTGGAGCAGGATCCATTCGGATAACCCTTCAGGAGAACAACCTGAGATCTAACCCACGTTTTTGTGGAGTTCGTGTTGTTCAGTCTTTATTTTTTCTAAGTAATGTTTCGTGGACTTCATTTTTTTTTCGTCGTCTTTCATGATAACCATGTTTTATTTAAAAATGTCTTATTTTCGATGCAAAGTATTTTCGGACACATATTGAATTTGTCGACATATGGGATGAAAAAATCAAAGTCTTTTTTAAAAGAAAATAGGTCTACGTATAGGCGGACACACTGAGACCGGTCACAACGTTACTTATATACAGTGGAGATCACTTTTAACCTCTCATTAGAACTGTCAGAATAATCTGTCATAGAACTGTTCTAAACTGTCCTAGAACAGTTCTACCTAGAACAGTTCTACCCTAGAACTGTTCTAAGTAGAACTGTCAGAATCAGTTCTAGATAGAACTGACCAAATTAGTTCTAGGTAAGACTCTCAGGATCAGTTCTAGGGTAGAACTGTCTAAAACTGTTCTAGGTAGAACTGTCCAAATCAGTTCTAGTCGTAGAACTGTCAGCAGAACTGACAAAATCAGTTCTAACCGTAGAACTGTCAGTAGAACTGACTAAATCAGTTCTAACCGTAGAACTGTCAGGATTGTAGAACAGTTCTAAATGACGTCATTGCAGTTAGAGAAATGTTAAAACAGTGCTGTGATGAGAATTTTTTAATATATATTATATTCTTTTGACTCATTTATATTTAAGACAAAGAGTTCTTAAAACTGTTCTATGGATAGAACTGACTAAATCAATTCTAGCCGTAGAACTGACCAAATCAGTTCTTATCGTAGAACTGTTCTAGTCGTAGAACTGTTCTAACCGTAGAACTGTTATAGTTGTAGAACTGACTAAAGATTTGGTCAGTTCTAGGTAGAACTGTCTTAAACTGTTCTAGGGTAGAACTGTCAGGATCAGTTCTAGGTAGAACTGTCTAAATCAGTTCTAGGTAGAACTGACCAAATCAGTTCTAGGTTAGAACTGTTCTAGCTAGAACTGTCTAAAAGGTGTCAGGATGATAGTTCTACAAACTGTCCTAGAACAGCTCTCCTGACAGATTCTGACACATTTGATGAGAGGTTAGAAGTGATCTCCACTGTATATAGAAATTATAGAAACACCCAAGGGATACAGGTGGACGCATTGCAATTTCTATTAAAAAATAGAAAGTGCTTCAGGTCGACACAAGTGGACACAGTGTTACTTCTATATAAACAATAAGGAATCAGGGGATACAGGCGGACACTGTACTATGCCAAATAAAAATAAATGTATAACTTATGTTTTAGAATTTATATTTATGGTATTTTACATTTAAAAACGATGCATTTTCTTAAATTTTAGCCATAAAAGGAAGTAATTTGAGAATATGTATCAATTTAATAATTTAATAATTTAAGTTGTGACCGTGTCCGGCTACAATGGCACACAAACGGAAGCTTGTCATTAATGACTTTACACAAACAGGTACTTGCCACTAGACGTGAAACACCAAATACATCAACCCATTCATAAACAAACAAAGTTAACGGTGACACGTGGTTTTTACATCCAAATTCTTGGTGGATAGTTGTGCCAAATGCAGTCATACAACATCTCCTTATTTTCATATACACTTGAATGATAAAATACTTACAAATAATATTAGCTATGCTACCATGCTCATATTTTGTTCCATAGTCCACTTGCAACGCGTCGCAGGCAGCTTTAGCACCTGCATTCTGAAAATGTAAGAACACCTTTTATGGAAAGTCATAATCTTCCGAAAAACGAAAACTAATTGGTTCTACATTAATTTTACAGACGCTCTTTGTCAGAAACCCCATTTGTCGGACATCTGTAAACGTCAAATCCTAGGATCCAAGATCTGCTTGGTATATTAAAGAAACAGGTAGTTTCATATTACTTTGTTCTGTGGTTTATAATTTAACTATTTGGTAATTTTGGTTTTCATCGTTTAACATTGTCTAATATCTGTTAGTATTCGTACTTTGATGAGTTTAGCCTTTTTTTTTCAATTAATGTATTATAGTGTGTCCTTTTATGTCGTATTGTTACACCACTGTCTCAGGTTAGGGTGAAGGTTGGCGCCAGATAAAACGTTCAAACCTGCTGCATTTCTTTGCACCTGTTTTAAGTCAGGAACCTGATGTTCAGTGGTTGTCTTTTGTTGATGTGGTTCATAAGTGTTTCTTGTTTCTCGATTTTTATAGAGATTAGACCGTTGATTTTCCTGTTTAAATAGTTTTACACTAGTCATTTTTTGGGGCCCTTTATAGCTTGCTGTTCAGTATGAGCCAAGGCTACGTGTTGAAGACCGTACTTTGACCTATAATGGTTTACTTTTACAAATTGTGACTTGGATGGAGAGTTGTCTCATTGGCACTCATACCACATCTTCTTATATCTATGTAAAAGTAGTAAAATGTAAAGATGTAAGGAAAAGAAAAATTCGGCGAACGTGTTTCAGTAGTGCAGTCTTAAACGAATTTCGTTTGGAGGAAAATTCACAGAATGTACAATTGGAAATGGTATTAACTGAAAAGCATCTTTTTACGATCTAGAGAAAAAGTATGGTATTAGGCCATACAAGTCAAGATCAATTGTATTTTTTACGTCAGTTTATAAAAATAAATTGATTATTTGTCTTTTCAGTAGGGGAATTATTTATTCAAAAATAATGGTAGAATTTTAAAAATATACTAAATTGTTTCTTTGTTTGTGAAGCACGTGCGCATATATATAACTAGGAAACTTATTTTTTAATAAAAAAAAACACCTTCAACTTTATTTTCACTGTTTTTAAAACATTAACGTTTTAACATTAACATTAGCCAATTTGAATAACGTTGCGAGAATGGCCGAGCAGTTACGATAGAGACAGACTGTACTTTTGTACATCTCCAAGTATTGTCGTAATTGTTAGATTTTATCTCAGATTTAATAAAAGTTTTCGCCGATTTAAATGAATAAATCGGTATGTGTTTTCCTTTAATTTCATACTTCCTGATTTGGGAAGACAAACAAACTCATGATAAACTTATTCGGTAGCACTTGATAAGTTTCTTCCTGGTCCATGTTGTATACGAGGATTTATCTCGAATCAATTATTAAATTTGATTGAGGTTTTAATAGATCTCTGAAGACCTAATAATGAATAATTGAATGATGTTTTGTGTTTGTGCTTAAGAAATCAATAAATGCCATGTTAAACTGGTCGAGTCATTTGACAGATTCTATCAATCTTTGTCTGACAAATTGCATAGGCGGATCCAGGGGGGGCCCCCCTTTCGTGGGAAAAATTTAGTAGATTATATAGGGAATCACTGAAGCATGACTGGAGCCCCCCCCCCCCCCCCCCCCCCCCCCCCCCCTTAGGTCAGTCAGCGGGCCCCCCCTTATGAAAAGTTCTGGATCCGCCACTGAAATGACTACATTGTATGAAAATGACAAAGACAATATTCAGACAATCTAATGGCATTGTAGCCTTTTTTTTACATGAGGGGTCCTTGTAGGGTAACTTAAAGTTTCATCTATGGTTAGCGTTAGCTGGTTACGGGTTGCTTTAGGTTTGGGTTTGGTTTCAGGTTAAGGCATCTTCGCTAGCAAAGATGAGGTTAAGGCTAGTGTAAGGGTTAGGTTAGTGGTAAGGTTTAGTCAAGAATGTTTCTATATATACGGGTTGGAACTTATAAGGAAAAGAAGGTCACATTTTTGTCAGAATTTCAGTTTGATGGTTGATGATTTAGGGACACTCCTGTGAAAAGTCTTTATACCTGATCTTCATAATCTGCTGGTAGTTTCTTTGTGTATCCCCAGGGAGTCATCCAGAGTTGGGAATAACTATGGAAATCAATGAAAGCTTTAATGGTGTCCTTATGCATGCTAATAAAATCTGCCACTGCCTTCACCTCTACCTCTGAGAATGCTGATGGGCCACAATATGTATCAGAACACGGTTCTTTACTGGCTCCTTCCTCTAAAATAGTTCAAACAGAAATGTATTTAGTTGAATATTTAAAAGGATCGGTAATTTATTACAAACAATTTAGTTTTTGATAAAAAAAAAAATAAAAAAAATACAAAGAATGGATATTTTAATATGACACCATCCACCTAAAAGTACATTTTTTGCCATAATCTTTAAAGTCACATCACCACCTTTGGAAAACACCTCTTTTCTTGAAGATGATTATGATAAGTGTTAATTTGTTCCGCCGATAAACGGAAAACATGACCATCGGAGCTCATTCGCGATGTTTATCGCTCAATTTCTTAAAGTTTTTTTTAACCTAAAGCTTCCAAGGCCACATCTTAACAAACTTGTTGGAACAAATGATAAAAAGGCTCCTGTCAAATATTCTTGAATCGAGAATACCAGCTTGCAAACATGGCATTTATTTGGACACAAAGGATCTGTTAAGATTGGAGTCGAGCCTCACAACCTCAATGTTGACAGGCTAGTGATACATGAGTTGGACTATTAAGACCACTAGGCCACTGAGGCCCCTCTATATATGAAATCATATTATGAATCTCTAAATAGACGTAAGTGAAACTTTTTTTTAATGTATTGAAGGTTTTTTAATCATAAGTAATCCAAAGAAAAAAAAACACAAACAAATTTCTAGCCAATTAAACTACCAGTTAGACCATAATTGATGAACTCGTTCTAATTTGATAAATTATATGGCTTGGTGATGCATTTCCTAATTCTACCTGTAAAATCTTAAGAAACAGTCAAATGAACATCGTCCGAAATATCTCATTTTGAAGAGAGTCAATTTTCAAGAAAAGGAACAAAAAAGGCTTCGCTAAGTTAAACAGTTCGATTCCATGTTGGGAAGAATTCAGGTTAGCGATTTTTTAAAGATGTGATTAGACATGTACTTACTACACCATTCATAATCCCAGTTCCGGTTAGGGTCAACGCCATAACAAGCACCATGCTTTGATCTGGTCTTCCTCCAGTTTCTATCCTGTCAAAATTAAATAAAATTTCCTATTACACTATTTTTTACAAATGTAAGTTTTCGATTGTTTATTTATTTAATTGTTATGCAAATTTTCCATTAAGTACGGGAAGGGATAGTGCAGATTTATTTTAATTTTTTACAAAAATAGAAGCAACACTTGCATTATTTGTTTGATGGTCTATTATGCTAACAAAAGTCAACCAAAAATGGCTGTCAATGCAAGGGGAAATTGCAAATCAAAATTGATATGATAATTGAAAGAACAACCGACTTTCTAACCAGTAGCTGAAGCTGCTTGTACCTTACAAGCTTACTCTAGTATCGTGCAAATGTTGATCCTGCAGTTTCAAAATTATGTACAATCTTTTATTTCATTATTTAAGTAAGGGGTCATCCTGTTGGTAGCAGCAATGTGCATTTTTCATTAGAATTTTTAGTTTTATGACAAGAGATACAGTGGGAAAGGTTGTGAGTACATAAAACTGGTAAAAATCTATTGTTTCCTATTTAAAAATAATTACATATATTTTTTAAAGAGAAAACCACAGTGTCCAATAAAACACGTGGGTGTCCAACAAAACGCAACTTGTGTGTGCTTTTACAAAGTTATCTAAAGAATTATATTTTACAATATGAATTACCGTTGTCCATGTATACGCATAACCATCCACATTGAACACTGGTAATATGTACCACGTGTAAGAATCAACAATGTCTGTTATCTTGGCGTCTATTCCATATCGGTCTAACATCTAAAATAGAGAATCATTATCTTAAAAATATTCCATATCGGTCTAACATTTAAAATAGGGAATCATTATCTTAAAAAAATTTTTTTTAAATGACAGAATTAGCAATTATCAGTTTTAGTCGAAATGATGTCGTACTACAAAAATGAAGCAAATAAACAACACATGCGCCTCTCAAAGAATAACATTCAACTTTCAATTGACAAATTTAGAATTTGATTACAAGCCGATATGAATCTTTGTGGACATCGATATCAAATGCACACAAAAACCAAATATGACTGATTAACTAATAAATGGCTTCTTTGCGTCCAGCGGCGAATATTATATACATTGTAAGGACAATTACAATAATTTTATAAAGAGTATAATTTTGCATACACTTTTCTGTGGTAATATTGTTTATAAAGCTTTCAAGTTTAGGAACTGTCCTTAAAATCTTTCTCCTTGGCCTTATTGACTTATTGATAAAGATTATATTTATACTGTTGGTGTTCAATGACAATTCTCTAATTTATAGTTTGAAGAAAAATAATCACTAAAGTGTTTCTTCCTTTTTTCTGTTTACAATTTTAGTTTTAATAAAATCAAATAACGGCCCAATATTCATATTTGTACAGTAAATAAATACATGACTTACATTGTATAGACATGTATGAGTAATTGAACTTTCTGAAAAGTCTACATTATCCAATCATATAGAAGAATCGTAAATTGATTTCCGACTTTATATCCTTTTTCCGATTCTAAGCGTTCCTAAATAAGTTTGATTAGAAATGCATTTCAAATTAGCAGCTGTGTATTACCCGAGAGGATATCTTGATAACAATTTGGCATGCACAGATAATCAGATTTTTCTATTGCATACCTCATTAAACATTTCGACCACAATAACCAAAATACTATAAACCATTTGTTGCAATATACCTGACCAGTCATGTAGATAACGGTCGCTGGTGATATCCATTCTCTGGCATGGATTCCACCTTCCATGAAGAATCCATTCTTCTGTTTCACTTTACCTGTGTCAATCTGTATTACAAAATAATAATAATAATAATTAAGATAATATCAATAGTAAACAAACATCCAAGCGAAGGAAACAACGTCAAAAATAATCGAGCCTCAAAGTTAAATAGTTTTACAAGTTCTTATATGCATTGTTCACACTAGATTACTAAATGTGGTATGATTGCCAATGACAAAGTTCAAATGATGTGGATGTAAGCAAATATAGGCAACGTACGTTCTTCAACAATGAGAAAATCCCATACCGTATAAGTCGGCTATAAAAGGCCCCGACAGGAAAAAGATAAAACAATTAAATTGAGAAATTTTACGGCCTAATTCATAACAAAATAATTTACGAAAAACAAATATGACTGATATGAACCAACGACAACCACTGAACTACAGGCTCCTGACTTGGGACAGACACATAAAAATGTGGCGGGGTTAAACATGTCAGTGAGCGCTCAACCCTCCCCTAACCTAGGACAGTGAATGAATTAAAATTATTTTAGTAACTCAATATCTAAAAATATACTATAAAAAACAACAGGCTAAATGTATTGACATAGACTTAATAGCATACATGTATTTCCATTAACAATATAAACTTCACAGGGAATCCGAAGCACAATTTTGATCTTAAAATATTAAAAAGAACGCCAAAATGTTGCATAGTACAAGATTCTTAATCTTGGTTAAAGTACATCTAATACCAATTAAAATACACTAAACGCATAAAAAATAACATTTAAAGTTCATCGTCTGTATAAAAATTAACTCGAGTGCTTATGTCTTTTGTCTGTGGTTTCAAAGGTAAGACTGAATGGGTTTCTATATTCCATTAATTGAAAGAAGCACTTCTGAGCACAATTCCATTCTACTCAATAACGGAGGGTAGGAACCTTGAAGTTCAATCTTACTGTGATCCAGAATAAACAAAACTCAAGCTTTGTTTATCTTTTTCAACAGACAGTGAACTTTCCATGGTATTTTCAATACCTTTTCATCGAAATAAACAAAATGAATGAAATTATGTTTTTATTTTTTTTCGACACATTGACCTAATTTAAAAGAAGCATTCAAACATAATAAGCAAACAATGTTGGTTAATGATAAAATTATCTACTTCCAATCATTCATATGTATCTTAGATAAACAAAGCTACATTGTAACTACATGTATATCAGTTTGTTGACTTTAAATATATGTACCTGAATTAAGCGGATAGAACGTCCTTCAAATGATTTTCCAACTTCTATCACTTTAGTCATACTGGCGTAGACTGTTGTTATATTGGTTATCCAATCATTTATCTAAAAAAGGGCAAATACAAATGAGACAAAAATAAAAAAAAAAAAAAATATCCTAAAGTCTTTTTTTTTTTTGGTTGACCTGTTTATTGGGTTGCTGTCTCATCTACATTAACCCCAAATCTTTTATCTATTCATATCACCTTATCTAGCAAATTTTAGTATGATTGTCGTCGTAATTAATCAAAATTTTAAAGAAAAGAAGGTTCATAAATAATACTCGTTTGGTCTCTGGTGGATAGTCATACCACATCTCCTTGTTCCGTGTCCTGATATTTGAAAGATGGATTTCTTTATCATTTTGTATATTTTATACATTTTTATTTTGCGAAATTAATGAGATTGTAATTATTGTCAATAAGTTCAGTTTAGCACGCCAAGACTATATCGGAATAGAGATCGCATATTAAAAACACAAGATCAGAAATACACCAAGCCTTACGAAACTCTCAGATGACGTTAGAAAAGCAATCATTAAATCAAGAATTTCTACGCAAGAGATCAATGCATTCATTATACATTTTACATCGTACACAAATTCAATATACATTTTTTGTTTTTGTACTTTTCAATATGTCCCTAACTTTTTCTACAAATATATGTTACTGTACGAGTTGATATTTGCGATAGATTTTTCTTTTCATGCTGTTCTAACAATTACCTTAAGTCTGCATCATAATTATGCAAATCTTTACATAATTACATGTATATCCGAAACTGTTTATGTATTTAACTTACACAAAGCAAAATCAATTAACGTTTTTACACAAATTTTACTAGACACTTACAGCCGAGAGATTATGGTATTCCCCGTAGTTGAATGGAGCAGCTTTCCCTTGTGGAGAAAATTTAAGGTCAACTTTATTTTGCTGGTCAATATAGTGCTGTACATCGTCAATAACTAACCGAGTGTCCATTCCTACCAATCGAAAAGTTCCTACGAGTTCACTTTTTGGAGGCAAGGAAATCTGAACAGGGATATTAATTCCCCTTGGTGGGACCCAGAAATCTATTTCGTCCTGTTTGGCTTCTTTGTATATTTCTTGTAAAATTCGCAGCTGTAAATTTGTCTTTGGTACCACATCGTACATTTGAAATCTGTAATTGAAATCATATATGTAAGCGTTAAAACATTTAACTCTTCTATTCCCTTTCCTATTATATTTTGTTTGAAAATAGAGCGTGTAGAACTGAATTCAAACATAAAAAATGATATGTGTAACCATTAAACTTTCCAAGATAAAGGAAATTAAATATTCGTCCAAATCACTTATTTATAGAAAATTAAATAGCAAAAGCATAACTATTTTTTAACAAAATCGTTGGTTAGGGTTTAGAGAAAAAGTACTATTAATGTCATATAGTAAATTTTGTTTGCGATATTTTGATGCATTCTATACATTTGTACTAATTTTTTGCCGTCGTATATTATTAATATAGGGCCACAGAAAAGTTTGATTAGTATTATTTCTTTCTTGCATCTATTGTGAAAAGATAAACCGAAAGGGCACCATTCAACGAAAATATTGTCTTTTTGTGTTCCAAAAATTGACACACATTTATAAAATACAAATGAGGTCAGTGACCGCCTTTAAAATTCAATTATCCAAACAGTCCCTTCTTTTTCGGTCAAAGTCTAAATTTTCCGTCCTTCGTCCTGATCGACCCAACCTAACTTACTGTCTTAGTCTTTTATGTGTTCTTCTCCTGGGTGGGCATGAAATATTAGCCACTGGACGTAAAGTAAAAAGGAAATCAGTCAGGAAGTTACAGCAGATATAAGGAATACGCTGTCACTGTGTGTAATAATCTCAGACTTACCCATGGTAAGAAACCTTAGCGTCAGCTAGCGCCCAAACAGCTATGCAAATATAAATTATTAATAATCTCATTATTAGGCGTTTAAGGTCTTGAAATATATCACAATAACTGATCGAAAATTTGCATTTATCAACTTTTGTTGTGTAATCTTATTTAAAAGCAAATATTTGAAAAGGAAGATAGTCAGAAGGACGTCGGGAAGGTTCGCAAAATGTAGTTTAATATGATTTGTTAAGTCAAGGATATCATCAAATGGCTATAAAAGTACTTAAAAACTAAAAAGTAAACAAGTGAAAAAGTAATATAAATTTATTCAGATATAAAATTCATGAACAAAAAGGATGTTTGATGTAAACCTTCGGAGACCTTTTTGCTTTACCGTGTGACCCCGTGTGATTGGTCACAAGATGACAGTAAACTTGCTATCTCATGGATTTTCACTAAATGAATTATTTCAAACATTTTTTTTTCATGTTGTCTTTCACTATAAAAAAAACACGCACGCACACAAACATAAATAGACAAAAATAGTGTATTGACTTGATATAAAAACGATATAAGGATACGGCATAGAAACGGGGAAAATGCGAGGCTGTGCCGACTTTTGTTGTCAAGTTTTCAAAAGCGATAACGGTGGAACCTTTTAACATAAAATAGGGGAAGGGTATTCGAGGTCAGAACTTTTGGACGGGTTGCGATCAATGGGAATCCGTCTAATTAAGTGCGGCTTGCGGCCAGGCGGTTGGCGGGTTGAAGTGCAGGCGAGTGATAAATAAGAATACCCATTTTGTTTAATAAATTCCAAATATAGTTTGTAACAAAAGAGCTTTCAAATTTGCACAATGCATATGACTATACATAGAAAATGATTGTGCACCTCCTTTTATAGATTTAATTCAAATAAATTCTGCAGATTTTCCGGAGGTTGATAATTCGACAAAAAAATGTCCATATGACCAATGTAACACCTCTAAGGCCCCACGAGCCCTCATGAGACATTGCAAATGATCTAAAGTATAATAATATGTTTAAAACCTACTCGGAAATATATCTGCAATCTTTGTTTCTTTTCACTACATCTGTTATCGTAAACAAGAAAGAATTGTTAATTTGATCTCTGCTAACATCCATATTGTGCATCCTACAGGGACTGTATCAAAGACCTACTATACATATATGTTTATCCAGTTTCAACTTGAAACATGTTGCATTGTAGTTTCAGAGAAAATCTGAAATTGTCTGCTCAAGTTTTTACAAAGACCGTCGGGGATTCTCATTTGTCACTAGTTTCAGTGTGGAGTTGTCAATTGTTTGCTTTTTCTCCGAGTTTGTTTTTGTCTCTTAATTTCCCCTCTTCTTCACTGACGCTACATTTTTCAATCTTTTTCTTTGATTCCTTCGACCCTGTTAGCATAATAAGCATATCGTGAGCCCTTACGAGAGCGTTCAAAAAGTACAAGAAACCATATGCATACCTTTTTATTTCCCTTTTTTGTTTGCATATAGCTTCTAGAAATATGTATATTCTTATTTACAATTTTTTTTTTACTATACTATGTATAAAAATATTGTTTGTGGTGAACCATATGGGTCGGAAAATACCTCCATCTTTCTCAGAGTAGGTAAAGATATACAAATAATGTGAATACACAGAACCCCGATCCAATCCATCATTTGCTTAAATGTTACAATTTTAAATTGGTTTTCCCTTTCCAAAAACGTCTCATTTTTGTATAATTTCCCTTTAAAAGGTTGAAATCCTCATCTTTTAATACATTTTTGTAAAATTAAAAGCCCGACGATTGGACATGATTTTACTTTTCGTAACGCATTGAATGATGTCAGTGGGCTTCGGAATAGCATCAACTGACAGAAACATCTAGAAAGAAATATACGTGTACACTAACGTATTGGTGAGAACATTTTTGTTTCAATTCTGAAGTGGGTTGATTGAATGTTGGCTAATATAACTAACAAAATATTCCAAAGAAATTGTTTACAATATGCTGACGCTACCTTAAATGGTGTTTTAGCTAAATAAAATCAATAACTTTAATATTAAATGATGATCCTTCTTTAAAAACTAATCAAATTTTACATTGTTTTTAATCATTTGTTACATTATTTTCATATTATGTTAAAAAATTATAATTATTCTGCTCATCCTTTGCGCCGTGATTGGCAAATAAAATATATGTTTTTGGTTTGTTTGATTTTTTGGGTAATAATAAAACTCATTAGAAAGTTCATTTTTTAAAACAATTAAATCATCTTTAATGCATTAAATGTTTTGTAAAAATTTACTTATGTTACTGTTATTTAAAAGAAAAAACACCCCGGCTTCCTCCATCAATAAAAACTGACCCCACGTAATAGCTCAATAGAGCTCAGGGTGGCGTTGAACACCAATCAATCAATCAATCAATCAATCAATAAAACAAAATACGAAAAATTAAACGGCAAATCTCCCTCTTGAAGTAAAAAGTAATTAAAAAAACAACTTTAAAACACAGTTAAAAGTAAGAGTGTGTTTATTATATAAATGTGTGTGTGTTTACACTTCACTGAATACACGTGAAAAGGACGGTAATCAATTGTTATTTTTAATTTGTAGTACAAATATAAAACAATTAAAGTTACCACCCTTTAATCTGTTCATTTCTAAAATTTCGTATTATTCAAAAATTAAAAGATTTTCAATTCATTAAAAGTAAAAATTTCGATAGAATAGCAAATAATTAAAATGAAAATGAAAGCAAATTAACAAAAAATTCCTTCATGAAAGTAAAACCGCAAGAAATACAAATTAAAAATACCACAACGTACATTGTATCTGTCGAGATAAAAACTTGCACTAACATATTTAGTTGTGCTCTTACCTAATGAAGGTAACTGAAGGTGGAAGCGCCAAGTTTTCCAAATTAATGGTAGGCAGTGGTGTTTTCCCCCGATGGAATGTATAAATGCATAGCCCTGAAGGAGTAGAACCCAATACTGCCGCAGCCATACACCATATCTCTGGTGGATATTTTAGTGGGCTTAACAAAGCCCAGAAAAATAAATTTGGAAAGCTAGCCTCAAGTACGAGGTTTTCTTTTCTCGCTTTCTTTTCTACTGTTTTCTCTTCTCTTCTCTTCTCTTCTCTTCTCTTCTGTTTTTGATTCATCTTTTTTTTGTTTCCTTTCTTTACTCCTCCCTCACTCTCCTCTCTCTTCTCTCTCTCTCGTCCTGTCAATGAGAGAGAGAGAACGAACGAACCTGAGCGCGAGCGAGCGAGAGTTCGGGTGTGTGAGTGAGAGAGAGAGAGACTGAGCGTGAGCGAGCGAGAATTCGGGCGTGCGAGCGAGTGCGAGGTAGAGAGAGGGAGTGAGCCAGAGAGAGAGCGGGAGAGAACGAGTGAGGGGAGAGCATGATAGAGAGTGTTAGAGAAAGAGAGGACAAAGGAGAGAGCGAGCGATAGAGGAAGAACAAAGGTAAGCGAGCTAGCTGGAGTGAAAGAGTGTGAGAGAAATAGGGCGAGGGAGAGAGTGAGAGAAATAGGGCGAGGGAGAGAGTGAGCTAAAGCGAGAGCGTGAGAGATAGAGAGGGTGTGAGAGAAAGAGAAAAAGAGAGAGTAAAATGTGAGATAGGGTAAGATGGAGGTAATAGAGAGTGTGAGGAAGAAGTAAAGGAGAGGAAGGGGGTAGAGAGAGAGAGAGTAAGGAAGTGGAGAGCGAGTGGGTGCATAGAAGAGAGCTATGCTAGGGATTTGAGAGGAGAAAGATTTTCAGAGATGAGGAGCGAAGAGAAAAAACAAGAACTGGATGGAAAGAAATAGGGAACGAACGAGTGTGTAACAGAGGGAGAGGGAGAGAACGGAAGAGAAAGCAAGCCAGCGACTGAGAGTGAGAGGGCTAACGAAAGAGAAAGAATGAGAAGGAGAGAGTTCTCACTCGAGTAGCAACGTATATTTGTTCCCAAATTTGTTTATTAACAATGCCATAATATTCCGGAAAGATGTTAAATAAAGTTGAAATAATATCACTCCATTTAGAACTTATATTATGAAGGAATTTCTATTCCATGACAAGAGAATGGAGAATGAGCTAGTGAAACAATGAGTGAGTGAAATAGAAATCGAGGAGAGTGAGGGAATGAGAAAGTGAGAGAGAGAAAAAGAGAGAGAGAGAGAGAGAAAGAGGACATTTTTTTGAGAGAGAGGATGAGTAAGTAAGAAAGAGGGAACTAGAGAGGGAGAGGAGAAACAAAGAGAGAGATACATAGCAAACATGGAGAGGGGAGAGATACATAGCAAACATGGAGAGGGGAGAGAACAGGAGCAGCGGAAAGAGAGTGGTTATGAAAGCGCTTGTGAGAGGAAGTAAGTGAATGAGCGAGATTACGCGAGGGAGAATGATAAATTGTATGAAGGTTAAGATGAGGTTGAGGGAAGTAGTCAGCGCGTGTATGAGTGAAAATGCAAATACGTGTGTAAATGAAAATGCAAATATGCAATGGTTTATTTTCTTTTTTATTTGCCGGTTTAAAAACATAATATACGAACAAGATGAAATAACATCGTATTGAGACATATTTTGACATGTGAGTTCCCTGTGTTAAAAGAGTCCACTCATGCATGTATATCTATAATGCAGCACTTAACAAACAAAAAACTCCATACTTGTTAACGCGGCTGTATATTTAGACATTCCAAGATGTAATGTTAAAAGGTAGTAGTACAAGAAAATATATATATAAATATAACTAGTGAGCATCTATAAAACCAACACTCTTTCTTTCTGGTAATGCTATTTGATGAAGCACACTTGGTTCGTTTATCTAGAATCTGTCCCTATTCTCTTGATGGACATCATTCGCTAGGAATGTTCACTAGAACTTTCATGCGCTTAAAGTCATTTAGGTTGTGGTCCAACAGTATGAAGTAGAAATATATATATAGGTTGCACTTTGTAAATACAGCTATTTCACAAACAACGCCTCTTTTGGGAAGATATTTAATATTCATCGATGTTTTGTTTTGCTTACCTTATGGATCACAAATATGATCTCCATGTTTCATCTCATAGAGAGACAACCTGGATATCTTAACAGTATACCTACTATTGGATAGCGGAAACATTGAATTATCAAGAAGACTCAAAGTAAAGGTATGGGTAGTACAGAATTTTAGTATAAGTTTGAACTCTTAGAACTTTACGGCATATACATATTGGAAACATGCATCACAACCCTATGCTTAGACCTTTGCAAAAAATAGTATTTTTTTTTACGAAACTGCATAGCAAAAGTGGCACGGTTTTTGCCATAAAAGGAGTTTCAATATGAACTTGCATTGTCTATAACTACAGACATGATAGAGGTGACACCTATATGAACTTGTGATAAGTTCTGAGAGTGCGCACGTCATCTGTTTTTGAAATATAATTCATTCGATACGCATAAGACCAAACTCAGGAAGAAAAATGCATCAACCCTTTGTTAGAAAGAACCCTCCTGTTATCCCCCAAGAAAATATGACTTAAATAGATCAATTATCCCTGAAGATGTTGTAGCCTTATTATAAGTGCAGTTGTTTATTTTATAAACTGGAAATATATACTTTAAAAAAAAAGAAAAAGCCAAAACCGGAGCGTTTGCTATTGAGCAGATTATGCATTCAGAGGCAGACAGGACTGCTTTTCTTCGTTTATTTATTTTCGCCTGCAAAATGCATTGAAAATACTGCTCCTTTCTGTCTGGTGTAAAATTAAAACAAAATAGAGATTAATCACGAGCAGAGATAAGAAAATGTAAACCAAATATATGAACCTGCGATTATCGAAGTGTCGGGTGTATGTGGAGCACGCTATAATGCGTTTAAAAATTTTCAAAGTAATTGAAGCCAATGGATTCATCCGAGAGAGAAAATTAACCAATCTTAAGAGCTTTGTGCTGGTTTAGTTCAGTGACAGATTGAACTTTTCCAAGAACTGTAACTAAAAAATCAAACTGGCTTATTATATAAATCTCATCAATCTTGAAGTGCATTCTGGCGTTACCATATATCCCCGCATTTAAAGTCTAATTTGTTAACCTCAGGGTCGAGTATATGCAGGGTCGAGTATATACCTTTTCGTAACATGTCAAGTATTTACAGATAAGAAATAAACAAACAAAATCACCGTGTCTACAGAATTTCATTTATTTAGTATCTTTTTTTATATTTTTTTTTTATTTCTATTTTTTCTTCTTTTTTTAATTGTGTTGCTTGTATTCAGACTGTGTGCAAATGCTTCATTTTACTAATACCTTTTAGATAGATCTACTCAATTGTGCATGCTCTGTTTACTAGTAAGTGTAATCGTGTAAAGGAGAAGACTTCATAAGTTGGTTAAACTTGTGTCCGATCCTATTTGTCTCTTTCTGAGCAAATAAAGTCGTTATAAATTAAACTAAAAATGAGATTAATTTTTCCGAGTTCTAGTATATGTTCATCTTAGTAGTCTGGAGTTATGTCGCTCATCTGAGACTAGCTTACAATGTAAAACTATGGAATTACATTTCATTCTAATTAAAAATATCAATGAACGCCATTCACATATTTGCATTCGTTATTTATGACATTTTTGTTTTCCTTTTCAATTTTTCAAAATTATCTAAATTAAAAAAAAACTCTTACATTAAAAATATTATTATGCATAATTTAATTTATTTCTAATTCTCCCAGTCACTAATTAAAATTAAATATTGATAAGTTATCTATCTAGTCACTATCAGTTCTGACGTGGTATTGAGTTAAGACAAAGTAGATATATATACACTGAGCTGGTTTAATAACGTGTTCAAGCACCATGGAAAAAAAAATCAGTCATGAGAGTAAATATTCTATTCCTCTCTTCTGATTTCCCCAACTCCCGTTTGCCTCGGTTTTCACAGTTTACACAAATTGTAATACTACATGTACTATCTACCATAAAACATAATTCAAGTTCGATTTCCACTGTTTACGCATTTTTCTAGCGCTTTGTACTGTTGATTTTTCTCATTATGTAAAGGTTGGAAGTTTCCACATGATAGCGTTCCTTTATTTTGAACTATTATATCTTATAGCTATATAGCATTACAAAATGTGTTTCGAAGATTTATACGACCGGATTTCGAAGAGTGTTTCTTAAACAATGGAGAATGGTCTATACTGAACTTTTTCGAGGTCTTAAATTTTCTTTGAGGTTTTAAAGATCTGATTTAAAAAGAAAAATTGTTAACATCTTTTGAAAAAGAAGTTCCAAAGTCTGTTAAAATTGAAAATAATCAAAACAATTCGATAAAAGCAGATGCACAACTGCAATATACGTGCAATCATTCTGTGAAGCTTCATTGATCTTGGATGTTTACTGTAGTAGGAGTTGATTACACAAAATTGTCCTTTGTAATTTTTTGATACAAAAATGACTAAGTTTCCAAGTTCGGGAAAACGCGAAAAAAATCCTCAAACAACTCAAGATTAGCAGAAGCACGAGTTCAAAATTTGTGCAATTTTCTGTGAAGTTGAGAAATCTGTCGGAGGAGTTGATAACACATATTATTTATTCCATTTTCCCCGTACTGAGCCTCATGACATCACAATACTATAAATTAAGGTAACAGTAGTTTACCGATATTCAAGCCGGTTTTTCAACCGAGTCAAACATACACTATCTATATACATGTACATGTACCATAAAATCCAGGGTTTTTTTTTAATCATTATTTTTCATAGTATGATATAACATAGATGGAAGATACTATAGGACAATCAACAGCCAAGTCGAAGATTAACTCCCAATACCATGACCAAAAAGAAAACCGACGAAACGATAAACAACAGTTTACATAACTGTGCATAAAACCTAACGACTGAGCAAAACGAACCCAACCGAAAAACAGGATTTGATCCCAAGGTCTCAATATAGGTAAGCAACTGGTGTTCCTACTATTTGCATCCGTCGTGACAATTATAATATGATTAGTATTGCTTTTATGTAGGACCTTATACATTATAATTTCTCCAGGATGAAAGGAAAAACGTATAGCTACAGCCTTGTCTATCAGTTTGTTTAGAAGCAGCAGTTTCTGATTTTTAACTTTCATGTATGTTCTTTGCACTTCGATAAATGAGAGGCAACCATAATATACCGATGTTCATAACTATTAAATCCTTTAAAAAAAATATATAAACCAGGAGAGAGAAACAAAAAAAGACACGAGGGTTTGCACAAACTCCAAACGGAACAAGAACGATAACTTCATGCGAATCCAGACTCATTAAAAAATACCATGACAGGGAATTAAACAAACTTGGTATAATTTCGATCAGGAAACTGACAAAAGTTTACATTTGAGCTCATACATAGAAGACCACACAACCGTTTGAAATGTTTGCGAAAAACAACAGTCAACTGGTATCTGTAGGCATACACACTGTGTACACCAGTACACCGGATATTATCGGTAGTGTACAAGAGATTGAAACTAGTGTATCGGGAATTGGATAGTCGATACGGACAACAAACACAAGTCAGGTATGTTTTTGTTTTCATTTTCAATTACATTAAAGATATATAATTGCTTATATTTACATCGTTATTTCAAGAGGAAATACCATTTGCTTCGGGCTTTACACGATGCTATTACATCTTGTCAATAAATAATTACGATTTTCAATGCATATTCATGCAGGTGTAATTTCCGTGTCCGAATTTGGCCATACTTTAGATCCTTTTAGCTTTTATTAGGTCTGCAACTTTTGTATAATGTTTCGGATTTGGAGAAGTAATGTTTTGCTTTGCTATTATTGCTTTGTCCTTTTATATTTATGACTTTCCAAACACTTGACCATTGAAGTTAAGTATTCCAGAATCTTTGCCAATGTCGTTTGGGTCAAGAAAAACAAACATCCTCAGTATTAACACTTACATTTATCATATAGCATTAAAATGTAAGTTTTTGCGGAAGTAAACTAGCCACACATTCACACCCAGGCTGATAACCCATATCAGCCCATGTGTGACGTCACGTGGTCTGGCTGCTATGGGATTATCAGCCTGGGTGCGTTTGTACATCGGTAGTATATGATAAAACGATTAATACATGTCCTTTTCCATAAAGGCCCCGGTATCATCCCTCGACCCATATCAGCTCTCGACTTACATGTCGGGATGATACACGGGCCGATATGGAAGAGGCCATGTACTAATCTGTATGTAGTACATGTATAAAGACTAGAGAGAAATCCTGTTATAGCTACATACCGATTATAAAACGTCAGCTTTCATTGATTAGATATGTATATTTGGTTAAATCTCAATTTGCACAGAATAACGTATGTCATTTTTACTGTAAACATTTTATAACGAAGCATACTTTTAATTATCAATAATTATTCTTGCTGAACTTAATCATCTGTAATGTAGTAAGTACCTATACTACGCCCTTTGGTACTTATATTGTTTATAAATTCTGCCAACCCCAGATAATTATAATACTACAAACGAAAATTACATTACACCTGTTACGATGTACATTTCTTAAATTGGTTAAAATCAAAGGAAACGAAATCAGATTAAAATACATCGATTGATAATTGACTTGAAATGAACCTGTAACATAAATATTTTCCAGGGTTTAGCTTTCACATGACAGGGCAATCCTATTGTTTGGATGTAAGGTGGTAATGGACCAGTTGTATATGAAACCCAATCAGTAGGAACACTTTTTCTCACAGAAGAAAGGACATTTTGTACCCTGTCAGAGGTTAGTTTGATATACAAGATGGATAATACGCAAATTTTTTACTTCCCACTTATATGTTTCATGCTATTGTTTTTCCTCTGATATATATATACATAATAAAATAATTACAATCATAACATATAAGTTACATACAATTCCGTAACTTTAATTGACCGATGCATTTCAAAAATTATATTTTATTTCCTTATAAAATGCAGAATCTAGGATTGCACGTGCTATCCGTGAAAACATTAAAACAATGCACAGAAAAAACGAATGATAGGCTTGATTTAACTTCTAATATCATGGTTGTAGCATAAAAAGTAATTAAGAATTGAATCCTTCTTTTTGTAATTTTATTGGTATGTAAAAACGATGAACGTGCGCGCATTGTTAATATTAATATGTTTCGGTCAACGCTTTTACGCCCTACTAAAATTCCTAAAAGAAGCATTCAATTCTTAGGTAAAAAAAAAGGCTAAAGAAAGGATATAGCGTGTTGTACATTTGTACATAAGGGAACTATCAAATTAAATACTAGAAAATAGAAAAATTAAATAAATACTTGAAAAAATATACTAAATATATCAAATGACTATAAACCAAACAGTGCGATTATTCAATTTGGGTCTGCACGGAGTCCTAGGCCTGTTGGCCTCATTGAGAAAAAAAATATCATTATGTTTTCTAAATATATTAGTGCTGGATGTGTAAAGTCGAGCGCTTACAATATAAATTCCACCGCTTACAATGTCAAGTCCAGCACTTACGATGTTAAGTCCAGCGCTAGTTAGGTATCATATTTTAATAGAATAATGTAGATATGTACATATATACATGTACTTCTAAGTAGCATAATAAAATCCAGCGCGGAAAATGTTCATGTAAAGTCTAGCGCTTACGATGTCAAGTCCAGTGCTGGTTATTTAAAAATTTGACGCTACGATAATGTAAACATGTATTCTGCAGAGCTAAATATTAAAACTCGAAGGCTGACGATTTCAAAGCCAGCGCTACTAATATAAACATCCGTGCTGAAGATTTAAACTCCAGTACTGAAGATGTTAGTAAAGTCCTAGAGATTTCAAGCAAATTTGCAGTGAGTGTTTCTAAAAGTACATGAATATACATTGTATTTAACAAACCCCTTTTAGTTTCAAACTCTCCAAATTGAAGAAAAACATGCTATTGGTAGATATTCAAAACACCAAATTAGTGCAAAATTCCGGATAATCATTTTTCAAAAGACTCATTGGTTAAAAGAAGACGTGTTGATGAACCGTTCACTACGCGAAACCAATTTTAATTTTTGAAATACGGACGTTTGTAACAAATTTTAATGAATCATTAGATCACAGAATCCATGGAATACGGAACCAATCTCAATAAATTATTCAATTTTAGGCCACCAAGTGCCCTACAGTGGCCATGCCATAAATGTGAACCTTACCATGGCTTTTAGCAGTCACACATTTCCTTCTGTATTTCCTCGTTTAGTTACAGGCTAGTTGTATATAAATGCCCAATTGTAAGAACCTACTAGTATATATTCTACAGATGACTATGAACTAAGTGTTAAGCTTCACTTGCGTTTCTCATCAACACATTTGCTTCGGTAATGTTATAGTTATTTATTGATAAAAAAAATTAAACTACAATTCTTTAGTTTCAGATCATTGGGAAGGAAAGTTGATCACACCTGTTAAAAGATGAACGTCTACATAACAAGTTTAATCGTCCTTTGTAGTAACATATTTGTGTTATCGTCTGCGGCATGTACGTATCTTTTTATATGTAAAAAAAAATGATAATCCGTTTCTGTTTGATGATTAAGAACGATCGTTAGCGAGTCTTACACAAAGAAGTACTTTATTCTTGGTACTCATTAATTGATAAAGTTTCCAAAAATGTGGAAATTATAAACCCTGAACATCATTCCGATATAGGGGCCTCAGTTGACGAGTGATCTAAGTTGTCAAACTACTGGATCACTAGCCTGTCAACACCGAGGTTGTGAGTTCATATCCCGCACGTGTCAGGTGCGCCCGACTCCAATCTTAATTGACTAGGGTTGTCAGGACAGAAGTTTTGAGTAAAAAAGGCAGGATGAGCAACTTGGCAAAAAAAAAAGGCAGGATGACAAATTATGTATAAAAAGTCGGGATAAACTAATAAAAAAAAAAGGGAGGACCGAATAAAGTGAAAAATAAAAAGGCAGGACCGAGATTACAACTAAAAACAAATGCAGGACACAATTTTTCATCCTAGCCCCCCCCCCCCCCCCCCCCCCCCCTTAAAATCAAATGGTAGCTCCCTAAATTCAATTCCTCATCTAAACTTTTTTTTATGGTAAGCTTAAAACTAATTGTCAACCTGAGGCCAAGAATATCTAAATTGCAATAATGTCACATACATATAGACAATTGTTTTTGATAATTATCATCTAAATATAGACGTGGAAAGGTATATGCACATCCCTAAAAGAACAAAGATTATGTAAACAAATGTAGAGCCTTAGATGATGAATGTCATTTCTTTTTTTATTGTGATATAAATATGTCAATACGTTCAGATGTATTTGCTTATCTAAGTGACAATGTGCCATCGATCATATCAACATCTTGATCCTTTAAAAAAATTAATACACATTCTTTGCCCCACCTCTGAATTTGCTTGCAAGTTTGGAGTCTTTATTAAACAGTCTTCAGAACTGAGGTCGACGTACCCATGTCAGACAGGTGCATGATACTCCTGCAGTAAATATCATCTTACATCTGTGTATTTAGTTAAATGTTCATTTGTTTTATTCTTGTATATGTATGCATTTTATTTTTTTATTGCTTGACCTCAATGGGTTTACTTTTGCAATAAAGTAATAGGCCGTCTTAAACTTGCAGTGAGGGGAGAGTTTTTTTTTGAGCTCCGTGACGAAAGCCTCACTGTGACTTTCAGATGAAAAACAACAATTAAAGCGCTGTTCCTTTGCTTTTTGTGTTTTTGCTGTGCATGTACTGATTTTGTTTTATGGATGGATACCCCATATGCTTTTTATCTATTATATATATGAAAACAGTATGTTTAAGTAATGGGTTATCTGAAGTTATCATGTGTTCTGCACATGATTCTTGCTGTGGGTTGTCAATTTGGCTCTGCGGTCTGTTAAGCATACACACTCTAATCTAGTCAGAAAAAAATGTGATGTATATGTTTTTAAGACAGCATCCTGCCCCGCCCTCTCTTCAATAAAGAAAAAAAAAAATACTAGAGGAAAAAAAAAATTCTTCAAATTCCACACAAACAACACAGTGACTATGATAACAATTACAGGAACTCGAATTCGAACCCGTTTGAATTTATGTCCTGATAAAATGTTTTTATATCAGATAGAGAAAATATAAAATAGAACTTTATTTTTCTTATGATTTTTCCAGGGAGGCCGCGAAAATATGGTTATAATCCATGTAACCATTATTCTGGACCTGTTTGTGGTACAAATGGCAAAACATATTACAGTGAATGTCAAGCTGTTAATTCGTTAGTATAATGTAACTTCAGATTATTCAAGTCTTGTTTCGTACCCGTTTATGTAATATAATACTTTATTTGTTATCTTTTAACTTTTAAATTCAAAGTAGGTCCACTTTTCAAATCTGTGGTTTTCTATTGGCTAAAAATTACGTCACGTGGTTTTATAACAAATGTTCATTTCGTATACAGATTAAATCGGATTACATTTTTGAGCACTAATATATATGGTAAACAACAGAGAAATCTGTCGAAATTACTTCAATACTACATACTTTCAGCATTAATCAATATTGTTCTATTTTGATGTTGTATCATTCCATATGTACATTTAATGTTAGTAGTAATTGTCGGTTCTGAAAGTTTTTTGAAACATTAATTGTTAAACTGTACAAAAAGGATCACAAAGGCAGGTCCCAAGAGGTACAAATAAGACAACCTGGTCGAAACGTTCAGTCGATTCTTATGAGTTATTGTTCTTGAAAGACGAATTCACCGTTTTTCATGACAACATGGCTGAAACCTTCAGTCAACTTCTTGTATGAGTTATTGGCCTTGCTGTATGTTCAGTTACTAATAATAAGTCAGTCGCATATCCCGTTTAATAATTAAAAAAAACATGTGTGTTTCGAACGTTGGTTTTATGAATTTACGATCAAATGTTTGAATACAACAAGCTCTAAGACTTTATATTGAATGTGACACTTAAGGCATCATCTGATATCGTCCTGGATGATGTTTAGAGTGAAAGTTTCCTTTTAGACATTCAAAATCCTTCTACCAACCAACTCGAGATAAGCAATTATACAAAATTATTGTATGAAGATCTGGGTAAGACGATGTCGTGCCTTTAATAGCTGACTATACGGTGTGTGTTTTTCTCCCTGTTTCAGGCCGTACAGTCACCTATAACTGCTTATATCTTCGTCATTCAAGCTCTTGTCGATTGTTGTCTCCTTGACAGTCATGCCTCATCTCCTTATTTTTATATATTACTTAAAAAATACAAGAAAGAATAAATGATACATTTACACAGGAATGTAAAAGTAAATTGCGTCAAAAGATGTCCATGTAAGAAGCCCTGCGTATGTAGTAAAGTGTACCGTCCAGTTTGTGGATCAGATGGTAAAACGTATGGCAATGCATGTATGGCAAAGTGTGAGTAAGTACGAACTTTCAAAGGAGTAATTATGATAAGGCCAAATTTATGGCCCCTGGAATTCGAAAATAAAAAAAAAACTATCTACCATAAGACATTTTGTCTATTGAGCATCAGTTAGTCTTACATATTGATATACATGTAAGGGCTTCAATCTTACATTTAGTGCAAAACTAAACAAAAAACTGCCAAAATAGCTTGAGATCTTGTCATTAGTATTAAGATATGATTAACAGCTTCATTCGAAAAAAGATATTTTGCTGCAAAATGTATTTTGCAAAGATGTTTAAGCATGTTTAATATCTTTTCAATAAAGATGTTGCTCATATGTATTTTGACCAAAACTGTGCATGAAATGTCAAATATGTAAACAAAATATAACAAAAATACCGAACTCTAAGGTAAATTCAAAAAGGGGAAAGTCTATAAAAATTGACATAATCGAACGTTCGACTTTATCAACCATTAGAACGAATGTCAATTTCGACGTGTTTAAGATGTCATAGTGACATTACAAGTGACCTTCCTGTACTTAGGTGGCAAGATTATTTTAACCTCTCAATTTATCGAAATAAAATTAACATAATTTTGAAACGCTTGAACAAGTTTATTTTTTTTGCAATTTTAGGGGCCAAATAATGGCTCTTATCGTACTTCCTCCTTCATGGCAATGTTTGTGTGGCAAAATGAAGTAAGTACAAAGGGTAAAACTTATGCCAATTATTGTATGGCAAAGCGCGAGCAAGTACGGACGGATAAAACTTATGGAAATGCTTGTTTGGCAAAGTGCATATAATAATTGAGGGAAAAATCTATTGAAATGCTTGGCAATGCTAATAATTTTTATTAATGCACGTATGGCAAAATGCGAGTAGGTACGAAGAGCACAGTAAATATTTAATCAAAGTACTGAAGTACTAAAAATCGGATTACCGCAAGTTCTTGTGGATGGTCAAAAGCACTTGTCTCAGAAAAAAATCACATCTCTATACCTGAAACTGAAGTTAATATACAGATATATATATTTTTCTGAGACAAGTTCGTGCGTGATGATGAATAAATGACAGGAAATTCAACCTCACCGTAATAACTATTATATTGTAGTGATACAAATCAGTATACACTGGTTTTTGTTATATATTATATTAATATAACAGTTACATGAATATATAATTTTCATCCATTTCTACATCATTCTATTCTACTATTGGACATGAGTAGGCATTCATATTTTCCCTCAAAACCAATATTCCATGCAGAGTTACCGGTCCTTGCGGGGATTGCCGCAAAACGTTCTTGAGATATTCTTCCGCATGCGTTAACACAATTTTTCGGTACGTGTGCATAGATATTATCAATGTTTTTTTACTTATACATATATATCTAACGACAAAACATTTTCATATTATTAATTTATTTTCTAAACAAAAATATTTTTATCAGTATTCTTTGAAGAGATGTATTTATAACAAACGATAAGAAATGTTACTTTTGCACTCCTTAATGTCCGCGTATTTATCATGTGTATAAATCGGTAACAAACCCAAAACGAAAGTTACGAAATGGAAATCTAGGCGATAGCAATACATTGGAATGCCCTCACGGTCATCGCGATGTAAAAAGGAGAAGTTATAACAGGACTAATTTTCCGATCCCTTGAATTAAAAAAATATAATATCTAATAAACCTATCAAATAACAATCTTCAAAAGTTTTGAAGACATAATATTAGTTTATGAAATTTCAAAATTTCATATTTTATATTTTGCACTGATATATTTCTTTTAGGGCTTCAGCGTTTTTTAATTGATTTCATAAAAGACTGCAAAATCTGCCAAAACAGCCTCATTTTGAGATCTTGTCATTACTATTAAATATGAACCAAGTCTTTGCTCCAAAACAGATTTTGCCGAAAGACGTCTGACAGAACATGATTTATTTATTTGTTGTTATTAGATTTGAACTAGCGTGCAGTAACTGCGGATAGTATTAGATCGGTACTTTGTGTCTTTTATCTTGTTCATGTTAGTTGTTTTGTGCTTCGGGCTATGTGATGAGTCAAGTCATTTGCAACTGATTTTTACATTGTGTTCTAGACACTCACACACATGTTTAACTCTTCCAAATTCTACATGTGCCTGCCCCGTGTCAACATCCTGTAATTCACTGGTTGTTGTCTGTCATATTTGATTTTTGTTTATTGTATTGTCATTAATACAGCCGTATTTTTTTTCGTTTAAATTGTTTCACATTTTGGAAGTCGATGCTTTTTATATCTGACTATACAGTATGGGGTTTGCTCATTGTTGAAGGCCGTAAGGTCACCTATAACTGGTTTAATCTACTTCATTTAGACTCTGTTGGATAGTTGACTCATAGGCAATTACACCACATCTCCAGATTTGATGCATTATAAAGCTGTGAATGTGGGTAAAATATCTTTTTGGGTAAAACCATGGTTAATATTTTATTGTACCAAGAACTATGTGTAAGAATACCTGTGTAGGTCAAATACATCAACTTCAACTTTTCTAAACTCAGAAGTGTCAAGATTATTATGCTCTATACATTAATCTGTTTAACCAGCCCATTTTGTTTATCAGATTTAAGAGGTTTGCTTTTTTCATAATTAAGGGACAAAATAATGGATATACTTGTACCTCCTCTTTAGTCATTTTATTACAAATATGTTGTTTTATGTACAGATATTTCAGTTTTACAAAGGAAACTCTACACTAACATTTACGACAAAAGGGACGATTTTTCGTTCCCGATTGTTAATTTTTCCTTTTTTTGTACGGTAATGTTCCTTTGGCACGACCTTACGGTGTTTATATATCACAGCTCATTCGCTATGCCTTTGTCGGTTGTGACATTTTGGATTTCAATGAACGTAATCTATGTATAGCTGGAAAATTATTAAGTCAGGGATTTCGTTACCACAAATTACTTATAATTATATAGCACATCCTTATTATTACGAATATGTTGTTTACCGAACCCGGAAATTTAGATACGATCCGGGTAAAGTCATCGATCCTTTAGATAACTTATTCTATAAGGTTTCCAATTCAACACTGTAATAAGATATTTGAATATTGTTTTTATCGGTATTGATATTGATTTTGTTATCAGTAAATTAATATCAAACTAAATATTATTGTTTATATACATAAGCACATCCATGGCTCTACAATCTGTCGATACCTGCATTTTGGAACTGCACAAGGTCATGTTTTTCTCTGACTGTTGATAACGTCTTTACACTAAAACAATAGGATGTTGGATGTGCACTGATTGATATTTAACTCTTAAACATGTTAGATGCACGATGTTTATTATTTGTTATTGGCTTTGAACTAACTGTCAGTAACCTGCGAGTACTCTCAGATCTGTACTTAGTGTCGTTTTTGTTGTGGGGATGTATAAGTACACCGTCACGTCCGGTCAGTATTTTTGTTAGATGTTTTCCTGATTTGTATCGATCTGATGATTTAAGACCTGTTTCGACTGATTTCAATTGTTTGTTCTTATGTTGTGCTGTTATACCACTGTTCCAGGTTAGAGGGAGGGTTGGCGCCTTCAAACTAGTTTAACTCCGTCACATTTTGTGTGCGCCTGTCAGTGGTTGTCGTTTGTTGCTGTGTATCATACTTGTTTTTCGCTGATTATTTTGTAAATAAATCAGGCTGTTAGTTTTCTCGTTTAAATTGTTTTTTGTTTTGTCATTTGGGTGCCTTTTATATCTGACTATACAGTATGGGATTTGCACATTGTTGAAGACTATACGTGACTTATAACTGTTAACTCCTATGTCAGTTGGTCTCTGGGGGAGTGTTGTCTCATTGGCAATTATACCACATCTTCTTATTTATATACAAAATGGTATCAAGAAAGGTTACAAGTAACATGTTTAAACGGGGTATAAGGGCATACTTTAATGAGAAAGCAACCCAATAATACGATGAAACAAATCATAACCACATCAGAAACTAGTTTTAAAATGAATCTTAATCTTTGTTAAAAGAAGTCTGAGATAACTTGCTTTATTTTTAATTGTTATAAGCTTTGAACTAGCTTTCTATTGGTGTTTATCGTTTATTGACCTTCAGACTTATTTTGGTTTCTCGTCATTGTGTTGTGTTGCTGCTTCTTTGACTTATTCCCCTTTCCTCATTTCATACAATTTTTCGATGCTATGTTATAATAAGGTGGACGCAAAATGTTCAGTTTTACATACACCTAAGCAATCAATTTGATAGACCATGACCAACCTGCATATATAAAAAAGCAAAGAAAGCATTATAATTTAGTTTTATCAATCATCATGTCATACAAAAGAGATGCTATTTAACAACTATACACACGCCTTGCTTTTCTCCCTAAAATAAAAGTAAAATGTTACAGGCGTTGTACATGCAACGAATCTTGCATATTTACTAAAATTATGAAATCTGTTTGAGGAAAGAATGGTAATACCAAAAACGATGACTGCACTACAAATTTTGCAAGTAAGTTGTCAACTGATATACAGAATACCGTTCTAAAACTATAAAAACGTGAACTTAATTAAGAAATAATTAATGGAAGCGAAAGATTTGTTGGACATTTACACATGACCTGGACCGTGATATTCGAATTTTATCCTGAGCGTTAGCGAGGGATAAAATTAACGAATATCACCGCCCAGGCCATGTGTAATTGTCCAACAAATCTATGGCTTCCATGAATTATTTCGATTCTAATAGGACAAATACGGTAATTTAAAAACTGAAGCGAAGGTAAGATTGCTGTGGGTATGGCTGTTCTAATTTACCCCTGTAAGACAAAAGCTACAAATTTCATATAAATCTAAGTCTTGCTTGAACTATTTCTTAAATAACCAGTAGAAAAAATGTGTTCAATCCTTATAATTCTTTACCCAAACATTCTTTTTTCGTTGACTACTATTTACTGTCAAATTCACAGCTGACATGTCGTAACTAAGGAGTGAGCCGCCATGTT